ACAGCCGGGGCCCCGCTGGGTGCTGGGTCACTGCTGCGGGTGAAGGCACACGGAGCCAGAAGGTGGGGACAGCCAGAGATGTCCCCACAAAATCTCAGGCCTTGTAGTACCAAGATCATGGAGACACGTGAAGTGTAGCAAAGAGATGTCCCTTGTCACATCCGTGCGCTCTGCCACCTCCGTGTCACTGCTGGGGAGCGGGACAAGGGGGGAGGTGGCAGGGGAGGGGACAGGGGAGATGGATCCTACTGCTCTGAGGGAACTGTGAGCCGGGGTGAAAAAGGGACAGTTTGGGGACAGGGGAACCTGGGGGCCATGGGGACAGAACAGGACAGGGGAACCTGGGGGCCATGGGGACAGGGGACAGAACGGCCCCAGGAGACAGGACAGCCTCCATGCGGGACAGGGGACAGGAGAGCCCATGGTCCAGGGGACAGGAGAACCTGAGGACAGGAGAGCCCTTGGATAAGGGGACAGGACCAGCAGCAGGGGACAGCAGTGACCACAGCCTGGGTCCCAGGAGCCCTGGGACAACCAGCGCTGGGGACACCGCATGACCCAGGGTCCTGCTCCCAGCTCCTCTTCCTCCTGTCCCTTGCCTGCAGGGCTGTCACCACCGGGGCTGTCCCTGTGCTGGGACACTCCGGTGTGCTGAGCCCTGTCCCCATGCCCAGGAGCCCTGGTGGCACCGGTGGCCTTGGTGGCACCGCTGTGATGAGTTGCGGGTGCTCGGGGCCGGCCCGGCTTTGGCGTTAATTGATTAATTGACTCCCGCGGCGGTGGCAGCTGTGAAAACAGAGCGGGGCTCATTAGGGGACATCAAAGGACAGCCGGGAGGGGACACGGCCCGAGCCGCTGGCGTTTGCTCCCTCTTCACCCGGCTTAAAAGGGGAGGAGGAGGATGGGAGTCACCGACCTGGGGACAGCCCTGCTCAGCGAGGAGGTCCCTGTCCCCTGTCCCTGGGATTGGTGGCACTTGGGGGCACCCATTCTTTGGGTGACATCCCCAAAGTTACCTGGACGTGGGGTGACCCATCCCTGGGGTTAGCTGGATTTGGGGTGATGTCTCCTCAGATATCAATCAGCTGCTCCTGGGGTGACCCATCCTTGGGGTCACCCATCCCCAGTGTGACCTGTCCCTCGGGTGACCCATGTCCACAGAGATCCATCTTTGGGGTGACCGGTCCCTGGTGATCCATCTTTGGGGTGACAGAGCAGGGGACAGAGGGGACACACACTGACTGCTGCTTGCAACACCCTCCAGCTCCTCCTGCTCAGGCTGCAAACAGCCCTGAGTGCCAAAAACCTCCAAAACCCCCCAAAATTTGCTCGGAAAAGGCACAAAGCTGGCGCAGTTCCTCCATCACAGGAGCCTGTGGGGTCAGGGACCCCCAAAACCCCCAGATCCCTCAGCACCCCCGGAGCACAGGAGCAGCCCCAGCAATCCCAGATCCCAGCTCTGCTTTCCAAAGCCAGGACATGAAGCCTTTTAAAAAAAATCTCCTCTCGGAGCTCCTGCATTCCTGGGTGGAGAGTTTACATTCCCCCGTCCCCCGTGATCTGAGCTCTGGAAAACAAAGCAGCCTTGGGAGGGAGCAGCTTTTTGGGGAGCAGGACCCTCGAACCAGAGCCAGGACCCCAAGGGCAGCACCCCAAAACTGAAACACCCAGAGGCAGGGCTGGAAACAGCCCAGAACCCCCTTGGCAAGGGGGTGGCACCCTCGGGGTGGGCATTGAGGGGTGCAGGGGGGTCCCCTGATGCCTTGGCCAAAGCTCAGCCTGCCCATGCCACCACCAGGAATTTCCCTGCCTGAATTCCCACTTCCAGAGGCTCCCAGGGCAAGAACTGGGGTAACAGGGGGTGCTGGGTGTCCTGGGGGGTGCCAAGGGGGGGCTGGGGGGATCCCAAAAAGCCCAGGCCGACCCCCAAACTGCCCCTCCAAACGGCAGAGGAGGGGGAAAAGAAGCCCTGCAGAAGTTTCTCCCCCTCTTCTCTCCCCCTTCCAAGTCATCGCTGGAAAATTAAACCGGATCCAAAGAGTTTTTCCTTTCCAAAATGTGCTGGAGAGGCGCTGCCTTAACCCCTTCAGCTCCCGTCTCGCCCTCTCCGCGGGACTGGGATTTTTTAAGGGGGTTTGGGGATTTTTCCCGGCCTTTGCTGGGGGAAGGGGAATGGCTTGCCCTGGCAACCCCTCCTTCTGCTCCAGGGATCCCCAAATCCCCTGCAACGAGCCAGACCAGAAGGGCTGAGGCTCCCCAGGGCTGATTTTGGGGCACCCTTGGGGCCAGCGCTTCGTGGCCAGGTCTCCCTCTCCATTTTGGGAAGAGAATTTTTTTTTCATTCCAATTAAACCCAGCTGATTAAATCCATCCTTTCAGCCCCCCCTCCCTGCCCTGAGTTGTCCCCCTCCAGCTGAAACTCCCCTAGATCCCCCCTCCAGCATCCCCCAAACCCCAACAGATCGAACACCCCCGCCAAACCCCTAATCCCAGAGAAAATGTGAGCTATTTCCTCCCGGGGGGGGACACAGGAGAGGAGGCCCCCCCTCCCTCTTCACACTGAAAATTCCTCTTTTTTTGGGTTAAAAATCTCTTTTTCCCCACTTTCAAAGTGCTTTGTTCCAGCTGGAGGGAGGCTCATCCCCACGGGGCGGTGGAAATGGGGGGGCCCGGCAGACTCCATGGGAACCCCCATAATTTAATTATTGGGGTTTTTTTTGGGGAAAAAAAAAAAGCCCTCGGGAATAATCTGGCATTTTTTGGACTCGTTTGTATTCGGGAAGGATTGTTCAAAAAGGGATTTGGGAGGAAAAATCATCAGCCAAGGAGGGGGGCCCAGGGAGAGCCCCCGGGGGCGGCAGAACCAGCCTGGGGTCTCGTGGGAGCAAAGGGGTGGGGAAGAAAAAATCCAATTTCTTGGGGAGTTTTGAAAGGAGAGTGAGAAGAATGGGCTTGGTTTTGGGGTTTTTTGCCTTTTTTTCACCCTTTTTTCCAGGGGCCAGCGGAGCAGGGCTGAGGGAGCCGGGACAGAGCGGGAAGGGGGGAGCAGGGGGCCGAGGGTCCTCTCCCAGCCTTGGCAGTGGTTTTTTCCCTCTCTTTTCTCCATTTTCCCACCTCTTTCTCTTTTTTCCTGATCCTTTTTCTCTCCTTGTTTTTTTAATCTCTTTTTTCTCTTTCCCCCTCTTTTTTTATCTTTTTCTCTCCTTCTCCTGTTCTTTCTCCCTTTCGTTTTTTTCCTGCTTCTTCTCATTTCTCTTCCTTTTTCTCCTTTTTTCCACTCTTTTCTGTCTTTCTCCCTTTTCTCCTGTTTTCCTCCCCTCCCACTTTTTTCCTCCCTTTCCTCCTTTTTCTCTCATTTCCCTTTTTTTTCCTCACTTTTCTCCTTTTTTCACCCCCACTGCTCATTTTTCCCTTGTCTCCTACATTTTTCCTTCCTATTTTTCTTTCCTTTCCCCCTCTTTTCCTCCCTTTTCCACTGTTTTTTCCCCTTTTTGTTCTTTTCCCTCCCCTCTTCTCCTTCCTTTTTCTCCTCTTTCTTCCTCCTTCTCCTCCTATTTTCTCCCTCCCTCTCCTCCTATTTCCTCCCTCTCTTTTTCCACACGTTCAAATACAAATATATACTTAAATTTACAAATGCTATTTACAGGTTTAATTACAAAAAAAAAAAAATCCAAAGAGAAAGAGAGACACCCCTTAGACGTTAATAAATCTAAAAATAAAAAATATATAATAACTCCTCCCCCCCCCACCCCCAAAACAAAAAAATATTTCAGGCCGAAGGGCAGGGGGGTCACACCGTGGTCTCGCCCTGCTTGCTGTTGGTGAGCCGAGTGTAGAACTTCCTCCAGGAGTGCAGGGTTTTGCCAGACCATATCCAGAACCCCGAGGTGATGCCCACGATCAGAGTCATGAGATACTTGATCATGTAGACGGTGAAGTCGGGGGTCATGCGGGGGGTGAAGTGCAGCGGGCAGGGGATGGCCAAGCTCTTGCAGTTCTGGCTGATCCAGCTGCGCTCCCAGTGCTCGCGGAAGGCCTGCTCGTAGAAGTAGCAGGCGATGACGATGGTGGCCGGCACGGTGTAGAGGACGCTGAAAACGCCGATGCGAACCATGAGCCGCTCCAGCTTCTCCGTCTTGGTGCCGCCGTGCTTCATGATGGTGCGGATGCGGAAGAGGGAGACGAAGCCAGCCAGGAGGAAGGAGGTGCCGATGAAGAGGTAGACGAAGAGCGGCGCCAGCACGAAGCCTCGCAGAGGGTCGATGTTGTTGAGGCCCACGAAGCAGACGCCGCTCAGCAGGTCGCCGTCGATCTGCCCCATGGCCAGGATGGTGATGGTCTTGACCGCCGGCACGGCCCAGGCGGCCAAGTGGAAGTACTGGGAGTTGGCCTCGATGGCCTCGTGGCCCCACTTCATGCCGGCGGCCAGGAACCAGGTGAGGGAGAGGATGACCCACCAGATGGAGCTGGCCATGCTGAAGAAGTAGAGCATCATGAAGAGGATGGTGCAGCCCTCCTTCTTGGTGCCCTGCACCACGGTGCGGTAGCCGTCCTCCTGGAAGCGCTCGTTGCACACCACCCTCTCCTCCAGCACGAAGCCGGCGATGTAGGCCACCGACACCATGGTGTAGCACCCCGAGAGGAAGATGATGGGTCGCTCGGGGTAGCGGAAGCGCTGCATGTCCACCAGGTAGGTGGTGACGGTGAAGAAGGTGGAGGCGCAGCACAGGACGGACCAGATGAGGATCCAGATGCGGGCGAAGCGGATCTCGTCCTCGTTGAAGAACATGTGGCCGTCGGGCCGGGTGGGCTCGCAGGGAGCAGCGCAGTCCTTCTCCCCCAGGAACTTG